AACCGAAGACACTACTATTTTCTAAATTCTAAGTGGAGCCAAAGTTTTAAGAATCGTTAACAATCTTCCTTCCAGATATGGAACTGTTGACGTTCATTTTCTTTCTTTTTTTTTTAATTGGTTTTTTGAATTTATTTGCCTGCAGGTTAGAGCATGTTTGATGACAGTTTAGTTCCTAACTAGAAACAAACTTTTTGGTCAGGCGAAGAATTATTATAATCAAATTCTAACCGAAATAACGTGATTGGATTTTGAAGTTGACACAGTAAAACTACCAACATAATCTCTTTCTCAAAGTGACAGAACAGAATACGGGAAAAAACTAAAAACCAAATCAAACAAGCGTTGTTCTGTTGCAGTTGCATTAATAAATTTGATGTCACTCATCAGTGACGGTTGCTTCAAGAATCTAAAAATCTTCAACACGATAAATCACTTAACAACAGCTAAACCTCACCAATAAAAAAGAATTAGTTGAAATTTATTACTGCATTTTGTGAATGAAATTAAACTGCAAAAATAAATAACCCTCGTTCCCGACAAAACCCATAAAAAGCTACTTACAAATCCTAACTGATCTGTAACATCCGTATATTTTGCCCTCCTTCCAGTACCTTTTCGTCCCGCTTTTTGCCGTGATGAGTTTGACTGTTCTGCCATCTAAATATCCAACTAGGTTTTTAGCAACTACTGGGTAACAAGATAAACGGCTAACACTAATCATATAACTACAGTAATTACGGGAATACCTTGTTGTTGGCTTGATCAGTGGTACGTTCCCAATTATCCACACCATTATCACAGCTTACATTCCCTTCATTACCAGCAGGCGGAAGTTCACCCCACCCCATCCCTTTGACCTGAAAAACAAATCTTAAAAAATGAAACCAATATAAAAACAAAAAATATCTTGAAAGATAAATCCACTTTGACAACAAGATCTACATTATGACCGAAAAAAAACTGCAAAACATGAATTATCCCCCCTCCTCCCAATACAAAAAATATTTTTGTGATAACCTCAAAAAAACGGTAACTTTCAAACTGCTCATATCATTCGAGACAAGAGTACTCCTTTTCGCAAAACACCACTACTGAAAAAGAACCAGAGAAAAGAAAACAGCAGCATGAATGTAACTTTAAAACAACTCGCAAGTTCTCAATAACAAAAATTTAATTTCGCCTCAAAACAAATTCAGTGTGAAAAAATAGTGGCATAAGTTCAAGAACAACAATTTTTATCACGGAATATAACAGTACATCAACTAATTTAGTTTGAAACAACTGATTATGATGCAATTTGACAAACCCACTGAAAAAGACCATATACAGTTTTAGTTCTCGAGTATTACATTAAATTCAGTTAATGCTAGCACGGTGCTGCCTGAGTGTGTGAATCTGTACAAAAAGTCCATTTTGCAACCTAGTCTATAGCTTGATGATCTTTAATTGAAATTTTGTTTGTATCAGGAATTGATAAACATTCATTAATCAAAAATTACGAACTCTTTCCGTTCCGGCATCCCATCCTAATGGTTGATCATCTGTTGCATCATTTTCGCCGGATGGAAAAGATGCCTCCTCTGCTTTTCTATCCACTTCCGTAGCATCATTCTCTTTCGACAAGCCTGAAAGCAATGGCAATCAAAAAAAAAAGCGTTGATCTCCGATCTTAATGTACAAGACGTGAAAAAATTAACAAGTAACACGTGATTACGAGACACAAAAACTGCTTGAAGAGGACAGAAATAAAGAGCACAAAGAAAAAAAAAAATTTATTTTAGAAAAAAAATTCAAACTTAATGAGTAGAAACGAAAACCAAAGGAACTAAGTGAAAGCGTTAAGAAATTATTTTATGTAATTATCAATTCAAAAAAATTAAACCCGTTTGTAAGCATCAAAGAAGAATTTAGAAATAAATGGTAAAAATTGTGGGGACCCACGAACATAAGGAATCATAAGAAAGCTTACCAGATGCAGCATTAGACCGCGAATTTTGATCATCTTCGGAGATTTTTTTATCCAGAGAATGCACAGTTCCCGTTACACCGTCCTCCATAACGAAAGGACTGAAACTACTTAAGGCTCCAGAAAGGTATTATTACAAATAACCAGAATAAATTCGAAGAAAACACAGATTAGCTTTAAACTACGGGCTACACCGTAAGACAACAGCTGTAAAAAAAACACAAGTAATATGCAATAGATGCAGGATCTAGTAAAGATAACACATAATACTAAAGATATATAGATTAGCTGGTTTCACTTGTTCCTGCTTCTGATCACATTTTTCTAAAACATTAATAACTTCTACTAAACGATCAAATTAAAAAAGATGTAAAGAAACAGTACGATGGGAAGTAAATAAAACAAATAGACGTAGGCTTAGGAAGAAAGAGCAAATACGCCAACAATTAAATTCAAGTAGAAAATAGAGTTTCAGCAACGCCCCTAAACTTCTGACCATTAATGCCGAAGTCCCTTTAGTTAAGACCGAAGCAAAGACCTGATTTAATACATCTAAATTGAAGCCAACCAAACGTCATGAGGGCACTGTTACCTTCTACCCTATGACTTGCATTTGAGCACGGAAACACTAGATATCCTACAACAATCGATAGACGGTATAGTAATTCATTGCACCGTCATCTCAAAGAACGACTCTGGTAGCAAGAGTGATACCAACCGCGCCAACTTTTTCGATCAAACAATCTACCGTGTCGCCAAGCTACATGATTTCTTATAATCGTACTAAACAGATATCAACTAAAGTTAACTCTTCCCCAGTTCCAAAACACAAACTCAGTAGCAAACTGTCTAATCAACAAAAAAATTTCCTCAGATTAGGAAATTCTAAGAAAAATAGCATTTGATACCAAGAAAAAGAAAACTATATCCGCAGATAATTCATTAGGGGTGATAACAAACGAATGAGCATGAGAATAAGTTTCCAAAAAAAAAGTAAAGAGTAAATTTTGAAACTAAATCCTCTGCGATTAGTAAATAAATAGAAGAGAAAAAGAAGAATTCATATCAAGTGGACAAGATAATGAGCAATTCTGTTTATACAGAAGTAGTTCAGAAAGGCTTTTAAAAATCAGCTGAAACTACAACAACAATAAGCGTCGTGAAGTGACAAGAAAAAAGTTTGTGCCAAAAATATGCCATCTTGTCAGCGTCACTCTGGCATTTATAGAAATTAAAAAGTTAAAACAATAATTCCCTATAATAATGCCGGTTTGTCACAAACTACACCTGTGTAAAGAAGACCTAGCAAGGGCTTTGTCTCAAAGGCGGGAAAGGATAAAAGAGGAAGCAGTAAAAATGGTGAATGGTGAGGAAAGAGCAAAATACTTTTCCCCCTCCCCCCCCCGGGGAAATTTGGAGAGTGCAACCCTGAAAACAAAAATTTATTCTAAAGAAAATAACAGTGCGCTTTGGAACTTAGTTGCTTACACTTCACTCTAATCGATAAAAGTTGAAAATGAAAAATAAGCTTACACATTAAAAGCAAAGCGCAACACTTCAGTCTCGCTAAGTTCGATGTTGTATTCATATAACGATAAGAACGCTACAAAAAAGGAACGACTTTCAATCGTACAACAACCTGAAAACTTATTTCCTAAAAACTCTGAAACTTGTAACGAACAGCAATGTGCACAAAACGCCAAACAACACATACTACAGCCTGAACGAAGCGTGCACCACTCACGGTCTTTTCCCTCTGCTTTTACCTCGCCATCTACAAAAAAAAACAGTACGAATGAAAAAAAAATAAACAAAAAAGTGAAATAACAAAAAATTAAAAAACAAAAATTAAAAACCTAAGAACAAAATAATTGATGTTACTTTGTAACATCTAGGCAATCACAGCATGTAATGATGACGGAACGAAACAATGAAGTAAAAATCGGACGATATAAGGCAAAAACGATTAAAGACGCAATTAAGGAGCCAAATCAAAACGATCTTTAAACAAACAGAGACAAGTATTTGTTAGCGACGCGCGCCAATAGCCGTCCGATAACTGAACTAGAGACCTTACCGCCTCGCTAAGCCACATAGCTCCGAAAAACTTTGCACGCAACCACAGCGCGCAGACACGGACACACACACATACGCAGCCGAGTCCAGAAAACAATACGGCATTTGAAGAGTGCCGCATACATAAAAACATCATGTAACCTTCCGTTCAGAACCTTAATTTGAAATAATCTCACGGCTAACAGCTGTATACCCGCTAACCCATTAGATTTTAAACTGAACAACAACATAACACACAGTGAAGACCTTTTTCGGCTTTCTAAATTCTAGTCAATCCATGCAGCCGACAACCATCCAACATACAGTCAATTGCTTAACCACTCACCATCTAAAACTGGTTCCTTCAAATACTGAAATATCTTTCACCTCCCCCCAACTACTCGTTTTTTTTTCTCAAATAAATAATAATGTTACAGATAATCGTTTTATCAAGCTCTCACTCACAGTTAAATCTTTGAAAATACACACAGGTTTACAAATGTTCCTAAAAATAACTTAATTATTCCAGTAGAAAAAGACTGCATGATGAGCTAAAAAAGGATCGTCTTTGTTAGCCACTTCTCGCAAAATAAATCTAGAAAAACTGCATAACATGGTTCGATAAAATTTGCTGGCATATATTTCAATGCCTCATAAAATTACTAAAATCGCCCTTCTAGTTTATAGAAAGTATGCAATTATATGTTGGTATCTGCACAATCACCAGAAAATTCCGTCATTCATCCAACTTTATCTCTGTTCTTCTCTGGCACTCAGAACCGAATATTAGAAACAAAGAACCGAGATAAGACGAGAAACATCAACTAAGTTGTTTTGCTCTTCAAAAAGAAGCGGCTCCTAATCGCTTGAAAATTTCTTTCTAGAAACGACACCGTTAAATACTATACTACTCAATTTATTTTTTCAATAGATACAAAATGTTATGACCTGGAAATTAGCAATTTCCTATAAATGCAGTTGTGTTCCTTTTGTGACCCGATTAATCTCATTTTAAGATATGCATGCATGTTAGAAATATCCCTTGCCCCTTATTTTGCTACGCTTACAATCTTGCAGACACCTCAAAGAACCGTCAAACAAACAAATTCCACTATTAAAAACAGGTCAATTTTTCCACCGCAGTATGGCAATTAAACCAAGAAAATAAAAGTATTGAAATTAAAACATTAAGCAGTCCCTATACCAAACTGCATTTCCTGTGATCTCTTTCCGATTTTACTGCGTAACACATACACAGTCACAAAATGCAAACAACTCCATCAAACGCATCACAAAAAAAGAAGTTTGCCACTGGCAGAACTGCAAAGAAACTATTATTCAAGTACCAGATCTGGGTCAGAAAAAGCTGTCCTCGACACCTTCATCCCCTCCCTACTGCTTTTTTTTCCGTTCGTTACTATTACAGAAATCATTTCTTAGCACACTCTTCACCAAGAAATATAAAAAAAAAATATTCTCGCTGATTACTTTACCATTTGCAATGAAAACATGCTATGACTTCAAACAACTACCTGAAAACCTTCCATCAATCTCAAGTAAACACACATAAACACACACTTCCGCGCTTCTTCCACTTACACGTCCTCCAGTCAAAAAAAATTAAACCACAGCGGAACAATTTTTATGTAACATGTTCTACCATGTCAGATTGTTGTTACTTCCAAGAACAACAGTTACGGGCCTCAAGCATTATCTATCTTTAATAGATGACATCCGATATGGAAGCAGAAAATGAAAAACATTATGAAAAACAACGTGAAAAATGAGTGCACACTGCATTTTGCTACTTTTTTAGCAGTACAAACAGTAGGCGAGGAAAAAAAGAACAAAGAACACAAAGTTCATAAAAAATATCTAGTTAACAACAGTGGCTTATCAAGAACAAACCAGCAGAAATTCGGTTTCGAAGAAATACAAAAGACTGAGGTCCTAAAAACAAGGAGCAAGCAACCATAATAAAAAAATTTTTAAACTATTCACACCACTTTACAGGAATGAAAAGAAAATTAAATAGCACCAAAACAACTCTGCAAAGATTCAAAAAAATCTGCTTATTAAAAAGTTTGTACACAACACTTCCAGTTTTTTTAAGACGCAATATCAAGAAGCAAAAAAATAAGTGAGGATGGCTAAATTCGCCCGTCGAATTACAAAAAGTTTTAGTAATCATCGTCGGAAGTGTCATCGGCTGTAGAACTCCTGACCGTTCTAGCATTCTTTTTTAAGATCCTCGTTTTTTTACCCTCGGAATTAGACAAATACGAAGGGCCATCATAGTCAATAGCTCCATGCCTCAAAAGTCAGCTATAATAATTTTCTTTGCCCAAGAAGTGTAGAAATACAATAAACAACTTCTCAGCCTTCCCCTCAGGAGAGAGAAAGAATAACTAACCAGCCAAGTCTCCACTCCAATGTTCCTGTTTTGAAATCATCTACGCCGCCGAGATCAGTAAACCCACGAATGTAATCTACAGTTTTAGAGTCAATTACTATAGCAATCGTAGGAATTACTCGAATATCCAATCGTTGTGTAATAAAAGGAAACTAAAAGTTAGAAATTAAGTAAGGCCGCAAAATTACTTACAACGGAAAACTACAAAGAACTTCTTCATCGCAGTATTTTAGGCAAATTTTAGCAAACTGTTTGGTTACTACTGAAGCAACATTATAAAAAATAAGGCGCAACATCAAGAAGCAAAAAATAAGTGAAAAATAAATTTTTTCAAAGAATGATGCCAGTAGCTATAGATAAAAGAAAAAGGAGAAGATTAAAAGAAGAAATAAAGTTGGCAGAGCTGAGAACCTTTTCCGCGTTGACACGAACAAATCGTGTTTCAAGATGTTTCGGAGCTAATTCCTTTAAATGTTTATCAACTATTTTACACCGCTCTGAGCCTGAAAGGTAAAAATGGCACACAATCCTATTAGACTTTTTGGTCGCTTCAAAAAACGATTTCTCATCCGGCAATTCTTCATATTTTCCATGCTCGTTTTCCAACCATTCCTAAAATATCCGAAATACAAGAAATCTTTAAATACAATAATTCTACCGCCAAAATTTTGATAAAATTTTGCTTTTATAAAAAGTTTTTGAATGAAGACAGATCACTTTCTAATTTTCCTTATCTATCCAAGAAAAATGACCCCTCTGTTTGAAAATCATCCCCCACCTGTGATTTCCAGGAGCTAGTCCCCAAAAGTTAAATAAGTAATACGCTACTCCTATGAAACGGCCAAAATGGAACTGCGTTCTTTACCTTTTCAGAATCCTGTGTCATTTTAAAAATCTGAAGTAGCAGACTCTTAGAAAAAAAAACATTAAACTGAAAAATTGGAAATTTCAAAGTCAGTGAATGTGCACTGTAATTTTGCTGCCCGCGAATGTACTCCAGTGCATTTCGCACTTTGTTAAAACTCCTTATCAGGTATTTAAAGGGGTTGATATTTTCTCGGAAAACAACAAAAAAAGTCATTTTTGATGTACACCAGAAGTATCTCGTGTATGTATTGAAAAACAATAAAAACTTCAAAAAATCAATTTCTAATTTAGAAGAACTCCCAACCAAATCATTACCCATCAAAAAACTAACCGTTTTATGCATTAATGAGATGACGTTTAAACTAAAATACTCCAACACAACGAAAATATGGAAAAATAAAGAACAAAGAATTCAGAAATTACATCAGAAAAGCATCAGCTGCTGAAAGAAAAAAATCTTTTTAATATGCAGACAGCATCAAGTGCAGACCACGGCAGAAAAGAAAACGACACAGCAAGTACAGAAAAAAGTAGTCTCTGGTAGGAACTTGAACCTAGAAAACAAGAAAAAAAACTCGAGTTTTGAGAGTGAAATGAAACTGAATAATCCACAGTTCTCCAAACAAGAACTATAACTAAGTCTCGCTATGTACACCTCCTCTGCCTTTTTACTAACAGAAGTAAAAATCTCCTCAAAAAAAAAAAAAAAAAAAAAAAAAAAAAAAAA